TACTACTTTTATCGGTAATACATTTAGGAGAATAAATTGGGCAAGTCGTCCTGGTTTTTCGTTTACTCCATTTTTCTATTTTGTTGTTATTTTTATTGTTATTGCCTTAATTTCTAACGCATTGTTTTCAGTTCACCTTAAATATGATACCAAATTTATTTGAGCTTATTTCCTCACCTTTGTCTTATCAACAGAAAAATTAGGATCAGCATTCTCTGAATTACTTGGCCCTTTATTATAGCCATAGCTTTTGGCATCAGACCTTTGTCCAGGCATTTTCAGCATACTTCGCAGCTGACCAAGTTACAACTTATCGAAAGCACAAGCTACTGGAGATGTTCTTGTTAACGGATCCAATACTACAAAAAGATATAGCTAAAATAACATACGCGTTAGCACGAAATATCTTCGCATTGCTCCTGTAAATACGACGAAGTTACATAAGACTAGTCATATAAACCCAGACCATTAGACTCAACACCAAACAAGACAGTTAAAGTATTTTTTTCCAGATGTGTTTTACTTCGTTTTTACAGCCTGATCGTATTACCAGAGAAACCCATTTATATACATCTTGTTCGGGGTGTTCTGCTATATTATCCATCATAATTTACAGCGCCATTTACGTCGAAAAATATGACCAAGTTGCTGAAGCGAAGTCAAACCATTTCTATAAAACGAAATAAAACGACCATGGTAAAGGCCATATCATCTTAGCCCTCATACAGTCGATTGTGCTACATTTTACTTGTTGTAACGTTTCCTCTTTGTTCTCTTTGTTATTTATTCCTTTAGTATATTTTTTATTTTCTGTTACTATTTGACCATGTTGTTTACTTTCTCATTCCACCTCACCATTGAGACCTTCACATAGAGTCTCATATAACTCATATCTTTTCAATTATTATACGTTTATTCATCCCTCTAGACCACCTTACAACTACTATCACGTTCATCTTCAGGCAATGTTAGTCTTCAGCTAGAGGGCACTGCTTTCCAGTTGACTGTGCTACCACGACCTGCTGCTCACGCTCTGGCCGCATACACTTTGCCCTTACGTCATGTTGACTACTCAGCCATGATCCAGGCTCCGATGCCTGGCCTTGTCAAATCGGTAGCCGTTAAAGTAGGCGACCATGTTGCTGACGGCCAGGAGCTATGTGTTCTTGAGGCAATGAAGATGCAGAATAGCATGACTGCAGGAAAGTCGGGCAAGGTAATTAAATATCTCACCTTGTTTAACCTCCTAAGTAAAACGTTATTTTGCTCTTTTTGTTCCTTTCTCTAATTTTATGATTTATATTTTTAAATTTAACTTGCACATTTTGCGCTACCATAAATTAGTTTAAAAGTATATATGAAGACCAAGATATTGTAGCCCTGATTAATTATGGCATGACTTCATTTTAAAGGAAAAGTTGATTAGAAGAAATTCGTGAATGGTTCTCATTGGAAACCGAAGGAAGATTTCCCTGGAGGAGTGAAGAATGATGAATTGTGCGACAAAGTCTTCAGCTGACCGTCATGCGACACTGATTAACCTGTGTTAAGCTTTCGTTTGCCATGTGGCGGACATCTTCAGAGCGATAAAAAGCATCAAATACAATAAGGCAAGAAGCTAAGGGTTATCCGTTCCGATCACACTCACTTTAAACGAAATACGATGGATAAATCACATCCACATATATACTGAACTTTGTGATCCTATTGAGGTATATCATGATTTGGTTGGTTATTTAATGCCTAAAATAAATTCTTGTAGATAGGTGAGGTTGATGTATGAAAAAGAAGTGATCTTGCTAATTTCGTGCTATGACACTTATATGGTATTGCTTATTGTGCGTATGCAATGTCAAAAGTGATTTCAAATGTCTGCTAATCAGACTCAAACAATTATAGTATCTATATAGGAGATATCCATTCTATTTCATTTAGGATCATAAGGGGACTCGCAGTTGAATTTCCCCACAATGATATAAGTAGAAATGACGATATTATTGAATTTCACACAGATTTGCTTTCCCAAAAGGCTATGTAAAATCCAATGGAAACGTCAGGTCTACTCATAGAATTGTGGGAAAATTCTACTACCAGTCCCCTTATCACCATAAAATAAATAGGACGTGGTCTGACTTCATTTTTGCAACTTGTTCGTGCTGTTAGGGCGACTTAATTGTACGCACCTTGTCGGAAGTCTACTTCCATATCAGTTATAATATTTCCAGCGTCGAACTGTGGACTTGGTACATTTCCAGACGTCTCGCCGGCATTGTAGTCTGCATCGTCAAAATAGACAAGTTGACTCTTTGATGAGTTTTAATATGGTGCTACGAATGGCAAAACTCACTGACGATGCCGACTACGATGCCAGCTAAACGTCTGGGAATGTACCACGTCCACGGTCAGACTTTGGAAATGACTATGCATACAATGGACTCTGGACAAGGTGCATTCCTCTAAGTTTTCTACCAATGGGACCAAGTTGCGAAAACAAGGTCAAATAACTTCTTATTAATTTTTGCCTTAGATACAAGGTCCTTTGAACGGATCCTAATACCCAGATTTTTTAGCTTCTTATCATGAAGCGTCCTAGTCATCTTATAGATTGCTTCACACAAATCGTCAGCCATGTTTTCTAGCTCAAGAAAGTATTTTTCATTTTAAATCTAAGAAAGGGTTTGCATTAGTTGAGTCATGGCTATAATAAGATCATGTAATTTGGTAGTGCTCTACGAGAAAATTGTTCCGAAGGAGATATCATACCGGAATTATACTCAATTTTGAGACTTAGTACAACTAAAAACTGAAAATAGGTCTACTGAGGAGCATGATTATCACAAGCCTGTGATTACCGGATATGGAATTTTCAGAATACGAATAGGAAATGTTGACTCATATATTTCTCGGCAACAGATACTTGAGAGAAGTAATACAAAGCAGCATAGTGGTCATGAAGAGCCGATAGCAGGACGGGGATTATGATAGAAAGGTAGTGATAGAGAGAGACTCGTATAAGTGCATACTCCTCTCTTCCTGCTAACTAGCACAAAGGGTGCGGCCAATTTTTACAAAATATATTATTCAGCTAATCACGAAGGATGAAACAACAACG